GAAAAAGACCCGGACCATGCTGTGTCAGTAAAAAAAGAAAAAGTGTGCTACTTCAGCAATCCCCAGGGATCTGCTCCCCCCTCACTTCAAAGCAGCCAGTTTCTCTCTTAATGTGAATATCAAATCTGTAGATCACAAGTCCCAGCACAGTCTGCATAAACTGCCCCTCCCCCAGCCTTTAATTCTGCCTAGTGATGAGGGGAAGAGAGGGAGGGGAGTTATTGCGAGAGGAAGCGACTGAGCAAGGCAGGGAGGGAGGGAGGGGGGAGATGGAGGGAGAGAGAGATGGAGACAGAGGGAGATCCAACAACAAAAACAAAAAAAAAAAACTACTTGCTTCAGATTTGACATTTTTGCAGAACGCTCCCTCTTTTTTAGAGAAATGTGCAGCGTCCAATGAAATTCAGATGAGCTCAATTTAGCAAAGGCTGTGTTGATACACAGAGTTCTTGCTGGAGAAAATTTTGCACATTCATATTTGGTGTTGGTCTGTGGATTTATCTTACTGTCCTCCATTGGTTCAAATTGAGGAAAAGCTGAGCTATATCCTACTGGACTTTTAGGAGCAACTTTTGACAGCAGCTGTTCTGCTTTTTTAGTTAATCCATAAGTGGAGATGTGAGATTTAAAAGCAAATTATACAAACTCTTTATTATTTTTCTAATATTTAGATTTTACATGTTAGAAGCTTTAATAGAGTTATTTCAGAGAGAAATAAATACATTTTAATAAAAAAATCACATTCAAAGAAAGGTCAAACAGACAAATTAACTATCTTTCTTCATGGCCTTCCGACAGATTGACGTTTTATGTCCTGGAGGGTAAAAGGAAGTAATGCCAGATTAAATCTGATATATATAAAAAAAAGGAGGCCTGGATGTGGCCTGTCATTAAAAGCTGCATATTACTCAGTTCCAGCTGTAATGTGTCTCTTTTGCAGAGAGGGGAAGAGGGGGTGGAGGATTTTACTGTGAACAAGGGGTACACACACACACACTCACACACAAACTCTCACACACACTCCTCCACCGTCACACCCCTTATTAAACAACTCCAATTAAAATAGATTCTGGTTTTAACCTGGAAAATTGGTAGAAAAAAATTACTTAATTGATTTTTTTCCCATGAGATCAGATTTTCTTAAGAATATTAAAATAAATTTTGCTCCATGATTGTTAATTAGTGCATAAAAACAGCCTGCACATTTTAAGACCACGAGAGTCAAACTGCACATCTACTTTTACAAAAACACCAACAGAGACAGGGTGATTTTGAAGATCCATTGCAAACTTTGGAACTGAGTTTATTCAATTTTATTTTTTTATTTAGGGCCCAAACATTTTATTTATTTGTTTATTTATTTTCTGGTTGTGCTGCAGTTAAAAAACAAAAACTAGAATAAGCATCTCCTACCAGCACAACCATTTCCAGGGGCGTCCCCTTCGCGCGCCTACTGTGCACGCGCCCGCGCTAGTTGGCACACGCGCGCGGACACGTCCGCGGGGGTCCAGGTGCGCTATTAGGGAGGAACATGACCGGGCAAGTCTCTAATCTGCACCCACGCCCCCGGAGTTCCTCAATTGGTGAAATAAATTTGCGTATTTTAATGTGATTTCGCTGAGCCCTCTGTCAGGCTCTGAAATTACAATTTATAAATTATATTAAAGAGAAAAAAAAAACTTTTAAATTAATATATGTCTGTTTGATGAGAATAATTGTCCTTAATTAAAATGTACATAAAAAAAAAATAACTCAGAATGATGAAAATGAAGCTTATGGGATAGGGCCTTTTCATGCGCTAAAACGGCCATTTTTTCTAGGTCCCATTACCCTGGACTTTTAGAAAAAAAAAAGCAACAAAACACAAACATACTAACTCCTCAAAGCTTCAGCTAATGTTGACAAAATTAGATGAAAAAAAAAAGCGTCCAGGCAGACAGGGTGCCCACCAAGGCCTATAAATACCCTCTGTTGTTGGGAGTGTTGAATTCCTCTTAATTCTCGACGCAGATTTGCTGGGATTATTTTTTTGATGCACAGTAAAAAAAAAAAAAAAAAAAAAAAACAATGATAAACTTCACAACAGGGATTTGTTCCATCTTGGACAGGAGACACCCTGGCTGATTTAAAGGGAACATTTGTGCAGGCTTAAAGAAGTCAGAGGAGTTTTTTTTTTAAATTATTTAACAAAAAAAGGGGGGGGGGGGGGGGGGG